TCCACTGCACTAAACTCCACAAACATCAATATAACTTGGCTCGGACTGCCAAGAGAAGTAGCGTACGGTAATGTCATAAGATATGAAGTAAGGCTCATTGTAGTGGAAAATTGTACGCAGGTCCAGTCTGCCTTTCATTCAACCATTAACACGACCATCACCTATGTTCTCGTGACTGGAATCTCTTTATGTGCCAAGTACGAAGTGTCTGTTAGAGGCTACACTGCTGTGGGACCTGGACCCTACAGCAGACCTGTAATTGTGCAGACATTGGGTAAGTAAGCTTTTAGAGAGCTTTATAAGGTAATTAGTAGGGTGAGAGTGGAACTGAAAGATGGTAAGAACTTATGAGAAAATATGGAAAACACGGAAAAAGGTTTTAGGTTTCGAGCCAAGGCGAGGGTTTAACGAGCTCTTTAAGTGTGTCATTTAGACGTAATGTAACCTCACATGTTCTCCTCCCGAGTGAGAGCTGCTTTTACAACTACTACCACTACTACTACTGCAGCTCTTGCTGTCACCATCGCTACCAATCTTTGCTAGTAAATAGGTAAGTAGACCTTAGTTAACGACTTGGCTAAAGAAGATAAGCAGTATGCAGTCGAAACGTTGCAATCCACATCCCAAGTGACCAAATCGTGAGACAAACAATTACATTTCTCTTTGTAGTGTTATTTACCACGATGAAGAGTTCGACAAATTTCGAAAGTTGAATTGAAAGTAATCCATATTGTTTGGGAGCATTATACTTTTCAGTTCCCTGATAACATAAAACGAAAGTGTTTCTCAAAGCGAAACCTTCGGTGTCTTGCCGTTGAGCAAAGTGGAACTGTAAGTAGATAAGTTGGTCTGTACCAACAACTGAATTAAGAACAGAAAAGGAAAGGCTTCACGTGCCTTTTGAAATAGCACAGAATTCGGAATTCACACATAGTATTTTCTTCTACCAATGTGATGGAAGGTGGTCCTAATTTTTCGGAGGACTCAGAATGCAGTGAAGTAAAACCAACAGAATCCCTAATTACTTTTGACATTTCATTAACATGTCGAGAATTGTGCTAAACGATAAAAATAAGTGTTGTTTTCTCTCCAAATATCTTTAGATGTGCCCGACGTAACTGAGCCTTCTTTCTCTTCTCCCCAGCTGAAATATGGTCCAAAGAGAGACCATCTTCGCCCTCTTTTTCCGCGAATTCAAAGGGAGGTGGAATTTCAGCCAAAGTAATGCTTCCACGTTTTCCTGGAAATGCAAGGTACGACTGACTTAATAATGTTACGTTAATTTTATGTGCTTCCTAACTAAGCAATTAAGCATGAGCTTGAGGCGATCAAAGTTTGGCTTTCGTATATTTCAGTATACATGATGTAATTTCAGTTTATGTTCATTTTCTTTCAATGTAAACATTTTCAGAAATTTGCATTGGCATGTGCAGATGCAAAATAAAATACAAGTAACAATTGACACCCCAAAATACTATTGACACCACTAATATCCTGTCACGTATCTTGCAGGTTTTTTCAAGTTATCATCATAACATACAGCTCAAACTATACTGGTGCTGTTAAACCACCAGGAAGATTTACAACACAAGACATGATGACGTATGAAGAAGCGCACAAATCGTCCGTCCCTGCTGCTTATGTTGCTTTCCAGTTTGGAGGAAATTATTTTTATAAAAATAAGGAATTTGTTATTGGAAATGGAGCGCAATCCGGTGGTAAAGAAAGGAGAAAGAGAAGTAGTGGTTATCAGGTTTATTACAACAAACCGCTCCAGCTGAATACAAATTACAGAGTGTTCCTCAGGGCTTTTGTCTCCGAGGTATTCTAACAAAATCTCTGTCATTCGAAAGGGAAGTCTATTCGTTATTTTAAAAACATTAACAAAACCGACCCATTGATCTATTCCAGGTCTGCATCCTGATATCTCAGGAACTTCCCCATCCTGAATCCTTTTCCTACTGTTATTACCTGCTTTTTGGCCTTGGTGAGTCACCATGCCATACCCAAACGCACATCATGGTTGCACATTAATGATAAGTGTGTTGTGGTTCTATTTTGCAGACGGTGTATGTGTCAAGTAATTTCGTAACCATTGACACCAAAGGTACTGTTCCCTCAGTTTCAGTTTTTGGCGATTCCTTTTGTTTTCTTTTGTTTTGTCAGTGTTATTTTTTTCCGGCTTATTTGCTTCAGTTGTACGATTTTCTTATTGAGAGACTTTAGGCGCTCAGTAACCCAATGTAGTCTAAACTGTGATTTGCTTATCGATGAAAGACTTTGATGCTGTTTCTATGGTCGGTCATCTGTTTTTGTAATCAACCTGGAGGTTGGCTATCAACCGAGGGGCTTTCTTCCTATTGTTTAGTTAAAAGGGAGAGTCTGCAAAGCCTTCATGCTGCTTTGTGTCCTTAGCTTTGTTAAGGCATGTCTAATCCATGTTTATTAATAATCAGGGAAACCTATCATAAAAGATCTGCCTAAAAGAACCATTACAGCAATTGGTGAACTGGTAGTGTTGACTTGTGAGGTTAGTGGAGACCCTGAGGCCTCTGTTACCTGGACCAAAGATGGACTTACCAGTATAGCTCGCGCTCAGTTGGAGAACAACGCCAAAATACTTTTCATACAAGATGTTGTTCCTGGTGACAGTGGCGTTTATGAATGTAAAGCAGTGAACATGTTTGGAGAGAGCCGTACAGCTACGATAGTTATTGTCGCGGGTACGTAGAAACTCATTTACAATTACACTGAACATTGCGTAGCAATTGAGTGATCATTTCTTCTATGAGAAATATGTGGAAGAGTAGGTGTATAATTTTTAACAAGACGTTATAGAATTTGCCAATTTCAACCAAAGTTAATGACCAACTATGTTTTTACTAAGCGCCACGCTGATCACCATGGAAACAGCCTCAACCATAATCTAGCCACTTTTGACAGGTCTTGGACTACTTGTTGATTCTAAAGGTTGATATTAAATACATCAGTAACAACAAAGCAAACCACCACTAAACGCGCAAACTAAAATTACGTGGTAGTATCCCCTTCTCCGTTGGTATGAGCATACGATTTTGTAAAAATTTCTTTTGGTCTCATGTTTTTCGTGTTTTGCACACAGTGCCACCCAGAATTATCGAAGAGCTCTCTCCTTCTTCAGTGATATGTGAAAAGCAAACTCCGTGTTTTCTCTCATGTCAAGCAACAAGTTATATTCCGTTTAACTCCTCTTGGACGAAGGATGGTGAGGTTGCAACTGGTGATAACATGAAGTTATTGAATAACAGTCTCATTGTCACACCACGGGATGCACAAGATTATGGGGATTATATGTGCCACGCTACAAACACCTTTGGGTCAACAATGTACAAAATCACTCTGGTTGCTCCTACAGGTAATCAAGTTCTCGATGACGGTAAATATTCTTCTTTAAAATTCGAACGCGCTTGAAGGTTTCTTCTAAAATATTTTGGAAAGCCCAGAACTTTTAAGTTCGGTATGAAGTTTTTAGGCTTCTTTTTACAGCTGTTTACACGGGTTTAATCTTGTCAGTAGCAAAAGCAACCTTATGTACTGGTCTCATACACCGACGTTTTTCAGTGTGAAGTTGCATTTTCTTTCTCTAGTTAGAAAATTTGTTAGTGTGCAGGTCGATCATGCCTGACATGAGAATAGCTGT